CGATCCTACACTCATTTTTTTCGTTATCCCGAATTAAGCTAAGTTGAGTATATGCCCTTAAGCTCAAGACCGCAGTTATCAAAATTTATACTCTTTCCTGGTAAACATTCTGCTCATGAGTCGCTCATAAAACCCGTCCTGCTTGGCAACATGGAGAGAAGGCCTAAAGAGTTTGTGGCTCTTTGTGCATGAGCGTAGGCAGTTACCAAAGACGATGTACGAATAAGCTGTAGGATACATGAATATTATATGTGGTGCAGGTAATTAAAATCCTACGAAAATTTTCCGATTCAATGGCTTTCGGCCCTCTACCGACTATAAAAGTGTGGTATCGAAAGTAGGGTATATCGACTGCCCACCAAGATCGCCCGACTTTTTCTTGTGGGGCTTTTTGAAAAGCAAAGTATAGCTATAGTAGCTGAAGAACAACATTTCAGCTGAAATTCCTATGATATCGCCCGAGTTGCTGGCAAATGTCATGGAAAATGCCAAAAAAAAGACCGAAGTTTTGTTTGCGCAATGAAGGGGGTCATTTGATCGATATTGTTTCTTCGAACGTAGCTGGAAAAAATTTCAAGACTTTAAATTTGATAATAAAAATGGTTTATCAAAACTCAATGAGAATTGTGCAAGTTATTCAACATTTCCATTGACCACATATAGATGGCGCACCGTATATAATTTTCGCCTTGTAACCTCTAAAGCGATTTATGGCCGAGCTCTCTTCCAATATGTGGTTTGCGTCTTAATGATTTCCAACAAATGGGGGGATCCACAATTTATACTAAGCCGCCTGCGAAGGGCTGATGCTGTTTTTATGAAGAGCTTTGATTTTAAGTGAAAAATACAGTCGGAGGGCTTGGCATTCCCTTCCCAGGGTCGACCGCAATTAGAAAAAATAATTTTCTATAGTTTTGGATCTTTAAAGAACCAGAACTCTTACCACGGCCGTCAGAATAGCACTACGCAATGCTATTGTGACTGGATTAGCTTCAATAATATCTGTCTTGTTAAAAGATTTTCAAAATAAATGAAAATTGTAGGATTTGTATTTAAATAGCACCTAACCTCATGAATGCTAAATGAGAGCCTAAGCGTGAGTTTTTAGAATATGTATGTGTATGTATGGTAATAAATATTTTCCAACAATTAAGAAAATAAGCTTCCACCCCCGCTCTAATTGTTCCAACCATCGCCACCAGTATACATTGTTAAACCAACAGCTACGGGCCATTAGTTATAATGAGAGTGAAATTATAGATACTCGTATACCCCAAGTCGGTATAAACACACTTTCTGCGTGGGCGTGTGCAAACTTCTGACACTCGCTGCTTGCCATGCCGCCGGCAAACATATTCGCCTTCTGACAAATGACATGAGCATGATAAGAAAAACACTTTATCACATTATAATTAGCTTCAAGTGAGTGTTGTTGTTGGGTTTATTATTGTAAATAAAAAATGGCACCACTTCCGAGCGTTAAGGCACCTCTGGTGCCTCGATTGCTCGTTGGCGATTAATGCACGAAGGATGCAAAAGCACCACGACAACAACAGCGTTATTTGCTATTAAACCTTTTACCTACATACCGCTTATTGGAGCGTCCCGTATGGCGTTGTGCTCGGTTCGCTGGTTTTACCCATAACAATGCAATCGACTTGAGCGAGCGCCGCTGTCAAGTTCACTTGTACGCTGCTGAAAACACGGAAAAATTGTAGCGAACGTACGAGTTGACGAGGTGACCTTGAGCTTGTTGGCCCAGTTTATTTAGCGAACGAAGCGGCACTCGTTTGTCTTGCTCTGGCAGTCACTCGGCCCTTCTTCTAGTTTGCATAAACATGCAATTACATGCTCGGTTATGGGGGTGTTTGTAAATATTTGTGGAAAAACGTAATCAAGTTTAAATGCACTTTTGACGTCGTCCTTGCGAGCTGTTTCGCTTTAATGAGGAAATGAGTTTCTTCGTTAAAGTCTCGATTTTTAGGCAATATTAAGGCGCATATGAAATTTTTTTCTTCTTCTTTTAATATCTGAAGCAACTTCATATTCGTCACCTTGGGTTGCCTGAGCGTGATCGCTGGGTCTACGGTAATACACCATTTTTCAGGTGTAACAAATTTTCTCATCATTGGATGCCTATCGATGGTTTTCGCTCAGAAATTTACCGAACATAGCGTTAAGGCCCGTTCAGATCGTTTCAATGCCTAGATTAAGACATTGTGAAAGAAGACACTTCTCCGACTTGATCTTTAGTTGCGCTTTTAATGCTATCTGCGGCTGTAAAACGATCGCTCTTTGTAAAGGGATTCCCAATAAAAGATGTTATTTTGATATTCAAAAATAGCTGACAGTATTTGAGATTGATGATCGGGAGTTTTTTTGAATGTTAAGAGAAAGTTATGGAAAATTCATTTGGATAAAAAAATTGAAATAAATTTTCTTAATGCGGTCGCCTCTCGGTAGATTCCCTACGAGCGTATTTCGGACATGAAGTAAAGGCTCCTCGTAAAAAATCCATCAGCCGATCGGAGACGGCTTAGTCGAAACCCTCCATTTCTTGGAAGACGCAAAACCAGAAATTGGAGGAGAAGCTCGGCCGAAATATCAGCGGTTACAAAGCGCCATCTATAAGAGATAGATATGCCTTTAATAATGGGAAATAATGACAGCCAAATGGACGCCACGACTACGCTTATAAGATCGTATCCATTTTCTGAACTTCTACATCACCAAATCGCAAAGTGGCTGCTGCATTCCCTAATTAAAGAATTCCATCTTTGAGGTTTCGAATCGACGTTGGCCTGCTGGCGCACACCTTATCTATCACGTAAAAGAAGAAAACAAAGACGTTGTCAGGTGTTAAAGCACAAGATCTCGGTGACCGAATGCGAACACCTTTTCGAGAGAGAACACGTTCCGAAACCTTTTCCCTTCAAAGATCTATGATTTAGTTGCTTGTGCGACACATAGCGCTGTCCTGACCAAAGCAAACGTTGTCCAATTTAATATCATCCAATTCTGGCCATACAAAATCACTAATCATCTTTCGTTAGGGCAATCCATTCATTTTCAAAAAAAGTAACGCTCAATGACCCCACCAAACCATAGACCTCAGCAAACAGTTACACTAAGAGAATGGATTGGCTTTTCGAATAATATATCTGGGGTTTTCCGAGTCCCGGATGCGTCATATTTGCTTATTGACTTAGCCATCGAGGTGGAAATGGGTCTCAACAGTCAATAAGATTTTTCTAAATCTTTTCCCGAATGATTTTCGTGCATTTCAACGACCCTATCAGCAAAGACACAACGTTGTTGAGGATCTGCCAGCTTGATTTCTTGTGTTAACTGAACTTTTTTAGCCTTAAGACCCACACCTCAACTCCAAAGAACGACGAGACAGACCTGAGTATTTTCAACGCTTTGCGAGTTACGGCAGCAATATCCTCGCTATCTTGTCCCAACAGCTATATTTTCCCACATTTCTTTGTCGCGGTTGCTTCACGACAACCGAAAATCGCTTAAGTTTTACGAACCCTCTCTTCCAGGTTTAGTCTTCTTGTGAATTTTTATCATTTCAATGCGTTGCTGCGGCTCTTGTTAGAAAATCCTTTAGCTCACTTTAATTTTGCGAATAGAAAAATGTCCCAGGAAGCCGTGTCTGATAAACATCGTTGCAGTATTGTTTTTAGCCCGAAATTCACGAATAAGAAATGAGGTGCGAGCCGATTCATTATCGAGATCCAAAAGCTATGAAGAGTTATTTCACAAATTAGGGTGTTTTTTGGGTTGTTTCACGCAAAGGGCATTGAATCTAGATATGGTGCTCCTTATTGAACAGTTGACCTACTAATAAGTCCAACAACCATAGTCTAGACGAACCTTTTTTGATTTTGTCAACTCAGAATTGCTCCTTTGTGATGATGAAGCTTTAGCTCCGTAATCCTCAGGATTCCCCAACTTTCTTTCACTGTTTCCACATTTTCATCGGTCGTTGATGTGCTCGAGCGTCCAGGACGTTAATCATCGTCAACGTTTTCTTCGTTCTCTTGGAAATGCTTATGCCACTTGTCTGAATCAAGCTCTGCCCAAGATAAGGCGAACACATAAAAGGTGAGACACCGTTTCTTGCTACTAACCAGCCCGCAGCTTCTACAGCATTTCCTAAAGCAGTGACCAGTTAAGACTCCCACAAGTTAAGAGATCTTTTGAGAGATCATATTTCGTTCGTATTTCGTGCTCTTTTTCGAGTTCATTTCAGCCATGTGGGTTTTCACCCTGCCGCCTCTGAACGGCTTTTTTTTACCCGGAGCCTTTATTTCATGTCAGAAATACTCTCGGAGGGATGGCATTCCACGCCGGGGGGCGACCGCAATCAGAAAATTTAACTTAGTTTTTGTTTTATTAAAATTAACTTTCTATAACTTTTCGATGTTGGTCGCACGGGAACTTGAACCCGAGCGTCCATTGTGGCAGAAATTCAACTTGAAAGCTACAGATATCGAGTGGTCTATGAGAGCCCTCACACATTTTTTCATGTATAGCATTATCCATTTCGTGGTTTCTGAAGTACGGGGCTGTATTTTGATATCTGCCAAACCAATCTTTCCGCGTAAACTTTTCAATTGGCCACCGAGATCGTGCGATTTGACACCTTCGGACCTTTTTGTTTGTAGGGCTACGCAAAAGGAGGTATTTTCGCGGGTAAACCTTTAACTTTTAACCACTAGAAAGCTAACATTCGTCAAGTTATGGCTGAGATACCGCCTAATAGTTGTAGAAAATCGAGCCGAAGCTTGCAGAAACCCGCAAGACGGTCATTTGAATGATTTGGAGTTTCATAGTTAATACCCAAGTTCAAAAGGAAAGTAATGAAGTTTATGAAATTTTAAATGAATTTCATTCAGTAAATCGTAAAATTATTAATTCTGAAATATATTTAAAAAATAATATGTTATATAATAACAATGAATATGTACGAACCACTTGCTTTGTTTCAGGTTTTACGCTGCGACCCTTGAATTTGCATGAGGATTCCATTATGTTGATCTCCTATCCGGGCGAGCTGTTCATGCGTGTTTTGAAATTAATGATTTTGCCTTTGATCATATCCAGTTTGATTGCCGGTTCGGCGAGTTTGAATGCACGAATGAATGGTAAAATTGCACTTCGTACATTGGTTTATTTCGTTGCAACTTCGTTCATGAATGCTCTGCTCGGCATCGCTTTGGTGCTACTCATTCATCCTGGTGATCCTAATCTACATAATACCGCCGATCGTTCCACTGATAAAAGGGCTGTGAATCTATTGGATAGCCTTTTGGATTTGGGAAGGTAAGTGGGAGGATATATGAGTTGCAAAAACGATTTCTATAATTAATTTTAATTAAAATAGGTATATTTTTATGAAATTAATTTTTTGAAAAAGAAAATAAATGAAATAAAACATTACAATCATGTTGGGAAACGTTCTACCAGCCTTGGCAGCCCTGCTTTGGGGCGAAAAGAAAGTAAGACAAAATTCTTAGTTTGTATCATCACCTTTTTAGCTAACTGTTAGTGCAGACTTCCACCCTGAATGAGCAACAATTTCTGCTCTACAGTTTTACAGACACTGTAAAATATATTTTCACAGTTTGGTTTTAAATATAGTGCTAGTATTTCATACAGTTTTTATTAGCCTATAAGCAGAGAATTTTATTATACATTCTCTGTACATTCTCTGCCATAAGCGCATTGATAAAGCAATTCGACAATAGGGCAATGTATAAATTGTACATATGTCGATAAAGCAGTTTTCACAGTTTGACGACCAATGATAAAACAGAAAGTTACCCTCAAGATTTTTTTTTTATTTCAGCTTGTTTGTTAAAAAACGCGACTTAGCCCTCATATCCCTTTTCGTATGGAACAAATATTGCAAATATCCAGTCGGTTTAATCAGCTTTACATGCAGTCCACTATTCTAAATACTTGGATGAGAGCCATGAGTGCTTAAATAAGCAGCAGCATTTTGTCTTAAGTGAAACGAACTTTAACAACAAAAGACTATTCGACGTTCCTGACCTTATATAAATATAAGTTTGCACCTTAAAAAACTGAGGCATTAAGTTTGATCCAAAGGTAAACTTAACTTGAGTTCTGGCTAAGCTTACAAAGCTGCTTTCCTATTGCAGAATCTTTTGACATCCTGACTGTTGCTGCATCGACCCATGCAGTAGTGTAAAAAAGAGTTTAGACCCGTCTTGGCTATGCTATCTGGATAGATAAAAACATTCTAGCTTTGAAAGTAGAATGTAGTAGCTGCTTTTGGAAACAGAGAAAGGGTATGAACTCTTCTGGAGTGCTGTTATGGACTTGAATATAAGTAACAGGTTCGCACGCCAATAAAGAAGAAGAAGCCCTTTACTGGTATTATTAGATTATGTTGAAGGCCCGGAGAACACTCAGCCAAGCTAATCTTTTGATCAAAACCAGAACAGATATCTAAACTTGTTCCAAGGTGCCAGAAAAATTGCTAAAAACAAGAGTTTCGTCTTCTTATTTTGTAATGCAGCGATGGCATGCTACTTTCAATTCGGTCGCGTTTGGTAGCGCAGGTGGCATCAAAAGGCTGACTCGTAGGGCACACTTTCCAAAAAAGCTTTATCCTATAAAAAGTGCTTTGATATTAACGCGTTTTGAGTCAAGAGTTCTTTTATGTTAGAGCTACAGAACTCAGATCACGCACCTCATCAAGTACTCAGATTTTGGTACAACCATGAGACGTACGGTTGGGTATTGTTTGAAATTACTTTCTAAAACCGCCAATTTCACTATTATTCAACTCAAAACTACTTTTGTCGTTGTGTTTTTATAAATTTATTTTCTTTCTTCCAGAAACGTCTTCCCAGACAATCTATTTCAGGCATCCTTTCAACAAGCGCACACTGTTTATCTTCCTAAACCCAATATTTTACACACATTTAATGAGACACTCAACGACACTGCGATCGGTAGCGAAATGGAACCAACTGAGGAGTTACAAACCCAACAACAACAGCAAGGGAATGACGATGAGGAACCGGCACTGATACGTGTAGTACAATATCGCAGCGGCACCAATACACTCGGCATTGTGTTCTTCTGTCTGGTGTTTGGCACCATTTTGGGCACAATCGGTGAGAAAGGCCAAATTGTGGTGGATTTCTTTACAGCCGTCTTCGAGGTCATCATGAAGATGGTCACCTGCGTGATGTGGCTGACACCGATCGGTATTAGTTCGGTGATAGCTGGGAAAATATTGGGCGTTAACGATTTGCATTTGGTCATGGAGCAGCTGATGTGGTTCATATTGACAAATCTGATTGGCGTTTGTCTGTATCAATTCATTATAATGCAGGGGATTTATTTTGTATTCGTGCGACGCAATCCGTTCAAATTCTATGCTGGACTAATACAACCCATGCTGACCGCTTTTGCGACAGCCTCAACGTAAGCGAACACATCTAAATACACACACGCACACATTTGCATACATACATACATACATACTTACAATTATATGTGTAGTTTATGTAAATAAAAATAAAATTATATTTGTATGTATGCAACATAAAACGCATAAAAGCATACATACATACATACGTATATGTACCTGTCGTACAGCCTCATGATGTGCATAAAATCTTTATATATATATATCTGTGATAATTGCATTTAATTATATAAGTCTATTTGAATGTCTCAAATGTTGACTCATAAAATGTAGTACAAACATATATGAGCACTCATAATTATATAAATATCATACGAATCAATTTATAAATATGTATGTCCTTAACGTTGTTTGCATTCAAGTACTCATTTCAAGCCACACTATGCATATATGTACATACATACTGCAAACAAAATGACAAAAAAAATAAAATAAAATAAAATAAAATAAAATAAAATAAAATAAAATAAAATAAAATAAAATAAAATAAAATAAAATAAAATAAAATAAAATAAAATAAAATAAAATAAAATAAAATAAAATAAAATAAAATAAAATAAAATAAAATAAAATAAAATAAAAATTTATAATTATAAATAAAAAAATAAAATAAGAGAATTAATATATACATAGTATGTATGTACATAATCAATCTCTTGTATGCAAAAAAATATATGTAGATATTTTCTTAAAAATGTTCCATGCTCATGAATGCAGCACCGTTAGACTTAAATTTAAATGCTACAAATATTTTTTCCTTCTTTTTGGGTTACATTTTTTGATTTGAATTTTAACTTTTTATTTGAAATTAAAAAAAAAATGAAACGAATCGAAATGCAACTTTAACAAATAACCAACATAACAACAACAATCATACTTTTTAATAAAAATAAATAAACAAATAATAAAAACTTTCATAAAACCATAATGACGAACAACAAAAACAACCAATTTGCAAAACTTCGCTGCGTTCCTGCAATCACACCGAAATGACTTAACTGCTCTACACAACTCTAAACATTCTTCTGCACCGAAATCTACTGCTCATTGCTTCCCCTGTGCAGTGCTGCTGCTCTACCCATCACATTCCGTTGCATGAACGACAAGCTGCGTGTGGATCAGCGTATTAGCCGTTTCGTTCTACCAATCGGTTGCAATATCAATATGGATGGCACGGCTTTGTTCATTGCTATCGCTTCGATTTTTATCGCTCAGATGAGTGGCATACCGTTGGGTTTTGGTGAATTGGTTACTGTTCTGTTAACGTCGACTGCTGCTTCAATGAGTTCGGCTAGTGTGCCGAGTGCTGCTTTGGTCCTGCTACTGGTCGTGCTCACCGCCATTGATGCGCCCGTACAAGATGTCACTTTGCTATTTGCTGTCGATTGGTTTGTGTGAGTATCTCAAATACATTGCTTCAACACAAATTTAGTATGAAAAGGGAGAGAGAGACCTGCAGAAAAAGTGTCAAAGGTTTCGAAAGCTTAGTTTGAATATCACTCATTCATTTTTGGTGAGCTAAGAGCATGAAATGTGATCTTTTAAATTGACTGTTATTTGGAGATTCTTAGTTTCAGGACGAGAATAGAGATATATATTAGTAGGATGGTCTCATATGCCAATTATTTCATTAATAAGATCCAAAATAGTATAGTCTTTATCTAATCATGCAACTGTATCAGACGAGGGCTCGGTGAATTTCAATAAATATTTTCTCTCAATTGTCTTGTCATGATATTTTATTTAGTCCTTGGATAGAAGGTCCTAGAAGAAGTTCTCTTAAATAAGGAGAGAGAGGGAAAGAAAGTGGGAGTGAGAAAGAAAGATAGGGGGGGGGGGGGAAGAGAGAGAGAGAGTGAGACTGGGAGAGAAAGAGAGAGAAAAAAGAGAGGGTGTTAAGTGTCTACTGCAGGTATTGGTGAGTTACTGTTCCAACCGCTCAGTTTGATAGGGTTCATTGCTGCCTGATTGTCATCCTAGGTGTTGGTACGTTTTTCATTGGAGCTTGTTTTCACGTGGCGGACCTTAACCAAATAGGTTGGAGTGGTTCCACTGGGCCCTCCTCTCTTGTAGCCTTTCAATTATATTCACAAGTATCATTAATGTTGAGTTCTCTGCCTGAAATACTCTTCAACTATCAACCATAAGTAGTCTTTTTCTTCATTGCCACATAACCTAGAAAGTCAGTTTTAGTGATTATTCTCCATACAGACTCTATAGAGGTCTCCGTTCATTTTTCTGTAGAACTAAATCTACGGCGAAAAATTTTATATTCAAGTTTCTTACATATTTTCAGTGATCGTATGCGCACCACCAACAACATGCTTGGCGATTGCTATGCAGCTGCTGTCGTCGAGGAGTTGTCACGGAAAGAGCTAATGGCACTGGATGCCGCCATTCTCTATCAGGTAATACAAACGCCTTTGATGCTTTAAATAAATAACAAAAAATAGTTGAAAAATTAAAAAAAAAATCTACAAACCACGAAAATCGGTAGGAATGTGCTTAGGTAATTACATGCATACATACATACTTAAATAATTCTAATTCATAAAAGTTTGACAAACCTGTCAACTATACTTACATACATAGTATTTCCTATGATCACTAAAAATCCGATTGCAGATAATTTGTGTGTGTTCTAAGCGTGTACGCGTCAACGCCAGCAAGAAAAAATACTCGCCCTGCGACCGACTACGATGTGACTAAGTACAGCCACCGTTACAACTTACGTTATTCACAGCTATTTCTCTAAATGAAAATAAAAAGAATATATTTAACTTTCGCATAAAATCGTTACTAACAAAAATTTCTGTTTTATTTATCATTTCTTTCGTACAGGAAGTGCCAGTTGGTACGCCAAATGGCAATGTCTTGCTTGAGGGGCAAACCGAGTTGGATAGCAAATGTTCAATGAGCGATTCGGTGGTGATCGATATCAATAATGTGATCAACAGCAGTAATTTGCAGAAGGAGAGCACTGGCTATCGCGCTTAAGTTAAGATTAGTTTTGTTTGTATAACACTTATATATACATATATAATATATAAACATCTTTACACACTTAAGTATACCCACACTTACATGCACTCTTAGTACATAATGTCATACAAAAATATTTATATACATTAACATAACTCTGGTAGAAAAATAGAAAATTGTGTGACATGAACGTCATCAAAAAGTCACAGATGATCCATAATCTCTAAAAGTCTTGACTGATTTCCCATTAAAGCTGTTGGGTGAAGTGAATGGAGCATAAAAAATATTGAATTAATATGTGAGACAGGCAGATGAGTATTTGATTTGTATAAAAAAAATTACCGTTAGAAATGCTAAACAGAATTAGTTGATTTTTAGGTAAAATTAGAATACAAATTTATAACATTTCGGACTTCAGTATACCTAAAAATTTGTGAAGGGCATATATAGACCAAAAAAAGTAAAAAGTTCGTTCGGTTTTTTTTATTGATTTTTCAAAATATGATAAGTTTGTGTACATTTGTCCGATTTAAGTCAAATATACGCCGTTTTGTTCGTAAACTTGTTGTCAACGAGATGCCAACTTCATTATTCCCACCTCGTAGAAGGCTGCCTCCCTATTGGCAAAAAACTCTTAGGGCCAATTTTCACAAGCCTCTTTTGAGGCCAACTTCTCGCCATTAAACAGCTTTGGACAGAAAAAGGTGGTAATAGTTTGGTGCCAGGTCCGGACTATAAGGTGGGTGCATTATTACGTCTGGCGCGTCACTAAAGACATGAGTGGCATAAGCCTTCTCGATATCACACACGAGGCGCTATAAATACTACTGTGTGACAGGTTGAAGCCCACCGTCAGCAGCAGGTATCTACAACTGAGCAGATAATTAAAATACCTTAAAAAAAAGCCAAATGAAAAGAGGACTCGACAGCACTCTACGCCGCTATGTCAGAATTTAGTATCCTTGCAAAATTCACGGCTGCGTAAACTGACTTTGAGTAATACCAAAGGTGTTATCATTATCGTGAGGATCCCTACGAGCCGTTCGATACCAAACGACGTTTCATACTAGGTGAATCGTGCGACTTTTCTAGTTTATTTGTGGAGAACATAAAATTAGCTGCAGTACTGTATAGAGAGGGTGTACAGCTGCTGAGACGAATGATATGGGTATGGGAGTGAACGAGAGCAAAAGGAAAGATCTCCTGTGATCAAGCCAACAGGCATCGCATTCGTGAATCGGATTCCACCTCTCTGCTGGCAGTCATAATTTTGAAGTCGTAAATAATTTTGTTCACCTTAGAACCAGCCAGTCTTGAAATCTAACACAAAATCACTCTTGCCAAGAGGTGTTGCATTAGACTGAGTAGGCAATTGAAAAGTAAAGTCCTCTTTCGAAGAACAAATACCAAAATCTACAAGTCGCTTATCATTCCTATCCTGTTATATGGTGCAGAGGCATGGGAAATAATAACATCTGATAAGTCGGTGTTAGAAGTTGTCAAAGCAAATGTTTTGCTTAAGATTTATTTTTCTCTGCGCGTTGAGAACGAAGAATACCACAGCCTATGAAACGATGAGCGGTGCGAGATATACGGCGACTTTGGTATAGTTCAGTGAATCAACAGAAAGCGGCTAAGCTGGCTAGATCTGGTGGTACGGTAGATGGATAAAAATATTTCTGCTTTGAAAGTTTTCGATGTACTTGAAGCAAATGGAAGGGGCAAGCTTTCACCTCGTTGGAAAGACCAGTTTGAACGCGACCTGGTTTCACTTCGTATTTCCAATTGGGGCCACGGACTGCACAATTTTTGGACGACGGTAATGTCAGCCTTCAGTTATGCGAGGTTATAAACCATCTGAACTGTACATTTCAGATGCATGCCCTTCAATCATAGCCCTTAATACGTTTACAGTGGTAGTTTTCCTTGAAACCGATTCTACGTGGCGGGCCTTAAAACTAGCTTGCACAAGCAAAAAAGAACATTGGAAGTGATTTCGAGTGATTTAATATCTCACTACTGCTCTACAAAGCTTTTTCAATGATGTCAAGATCTTTGGTTTAATAAATTTGAGCTTTCGTAGTAGCTTAAAGCTTTATATCTTCTTTCCTTATGATTTAAATTTGTTTGATTTCAAATCTGTCTGTCTCACATATTAGTTTTGTTTATCTATTTCTAATTCTTTTCCATGCAAAACCGTTATTTAACTTTGATGAGCTCTCGTTGAATCAAAAAGCTTTTAGCATTCAACATACATATATATAACATAACACACATAATTTTCGGGCATAATTAGGTACATATTCATAGCAACATCAAAAAGCAAAACAAAAAAAAAAAAATGAAGACCAGTCGCTCTATGAAAGTAATGACAAAAACAATAAATATTATTATTACTTAAAAACAAAGATAAATAAAACAATAAAAAATCAAATAGTAATATACGTATATGCATAACGGATGTAGTAAATAATTGCTAATTACATAAAACAATATAGAACAGATATATGTATGTACGTACTTATGTATTTTAGACACTTCATTTTGAATTTAAAGCAGAAAAAAAAAAATCATACAAAAATATCCAACTGATTATATAACAATAAACATATATGTATATGAATATGTCTATAGATACTTTCATGTCAGCATTTATGTATTATAAAGCATACATAATATATCCACAAGTACATATATACCCCAGTGTCACATTTACGCCGTGTTGCATCCGTAAGTAATAGAGACTGTCAATTTTAATACAACAAAACAAAATATATATCTTGCAATTTTTTGAAATATATATATGTACAATATATAATCGAATTGTAAGCCCACCAATTGATAACAGTATTTGCGTTTTCGAAAAGAGTATAAAAATAATAATAATAATTTACCAACAAGAAAAACCTTTACAAAACAAAAGTTCCCAATACATGTATGTATGTACGACTGTAGACAAAGTAGCCAACAAATAGTTATAAAATTATGCCGACATAATTAAATAATGTGTATTCAAAACTCACCAAAACAAACCGGAAAAAAACTATACAATGAAAAAAAAAAAAAAAAAAAAAAAAAAATAAATAAAAATAAAAAGTTAAGAATAAAATATTAATAATTATTATAAATATTATATGAAAATAAATAATAAATAATTATTATAAAAAATGCACGGAAAAAATAAAATAATTAAAAAAAATATTAGTATAATAAAAAAATTAAAAAAATTAAAAAAAACATTAAGTAAAGCAGATTAGAATTACTACATTGAAGATCAAGCGATCCACATATATAAATTGTATGTGCATATTAATAAACGTTTGAGCGTCTATATAATATATATTGTTTTATGCAACATTTTAAGAATTATAAAATAATATTTAAATTAAATCATTTTAAAATTTATAAATGATTTTAAGCTAATTGAATGCTTCTGTCTTTGTTTTTTTTAATTACTTAAAGTATGTGCGTACGTATGTATAATTTAATCGACGATGAATGATATTTGTACATATCTGTATATTTGTTAGCTGGGTAAAATTTTAAAAAGCATACATACATACATATATTCATAGCACTTTAGATTATTTGTATACACTTTATTAAAACAAATATAGACTTACTTACACACGCAATACACACACACTTATACACATACACAGACCTATACAAGCAAACAAGAAGTATTAGCAAAAGTGAGGAAAGCAATGAAGCGCATAATAAATAATATTATTATACTTATATTGTATTTGGGTAATGGCGTTGAAGACTCTTGTGTATCTCAGTAACGTTTGTGATGTTTTGATATAAAACGAAAAAAAAAAAACAAAAAATATTAAAATAAAACAAAATAATAATTAATTTATTAAAACTATTTTATTTAGCTTTTTATTTTATTTTGCGAATATTAAAATAAGTTAGTCGGTATTATTCCAAACTGTTGATATGCCTAAGTAACAGACTAGTAGAATCTACGCCTTGAGCCTTGGCTACAAAAACAGGTGGAAAAATCAATTCTTTTCTTAATTTTGTTTATATTTTCTGTTTATTTTACTTTATCAGACTTTTGGAATTTTATGTTGTTTTAAAATAATAGTAGGACAATTGAGCTTTAGCTACCCTGGGATCCAGGAGTATGAGCCGTGATACAATAATTTCGAGGTAGTTTGATTCTCTCTTCGCAGTCGGCTTCATAGCTATCTGGCATTAAACGTGTTTCGTTTTTTTTTCGTGTTACGTCCATCTAAAAAAGTCTACAATTTTTAAATATAAAATATGTGGAGAATTTTGATAATTTTTAAAAGTTTTAAATGTTCAAAAATAACATATTAAATTGCATTTTGCAACCACTGATAGTGACGTGTATCGGTCATGATGGTTGTATTACAACTTTAGAAAATTGTATCGCCCACCAAAATTTAAATTGCATTCAAGAAGATGAGCAGCTGACTGGACTTGCTATATCAAATGTGTGAATGCAAATTAGTTTCACAGTTTTAGAGATGTTTCAAGGAAATTCTGTAAGCAGACTGAAAAATTTCGTTTAAAAAACTATTGCAAATTCATTATAAAAATCTCGTTATCACGCTAAGAGTCGTTTAAATCGATTAAATTTCCAGTAACTTTTGAATTCAATCTAACCGCTTGATATATATTGATATTTCCAAATCTAGTCATAAAACCTAATCTCGTGATGATATCCATGCCGATTCTGTGAAGAAAATTCTTCTCACTTTTCCAGATGCTCAAACCACTTGGTGTATTCTACGAAGTTCATATGGTGATAAATAATGCCAAGAGATGCAAGCTCTCATAAGCAATCGAAGAAGAAATTTCCGACAAATCGATAACGGAAAACTCTGAAAGTTAGGCAGCGGCAGAAAAATTGTTTGAGAAACAGTTAATCCTTCTACTATGACTGCGGTTAGTAGACCGGTTGTTATGCTTATGGAGTTCATGTTTAGAAACAGTAAAAATTTAGTTCTGTTCACTTCGATGAATTGCACGTGGTCTTAACAAATATTCAGCCGAGGAAAGAGATATACCTATTTTTCTTATATTTTGTTTGTGCAATTTTGTGAATTTGGAACGAAGAACAAGCGTGATGTGACAACTTCACCTTCTACTAATTCGCTTTGGTCAAAATTTATTTATGTTAAAGTTTTGACTCAAAATGTTTCAAAAACTCAGAACCCTCCGAATTGACAGTGACAGTCTCGTGCTTGTCGTTTTCACAGAGGTAACGTCCAATCCCTGACCGAAAAGCGCACCAGACAGTAAAATTTTACTTATTTAAGGATTCTCGGAGACCCAGGCGCTACACTTTTGCTTATTTACGTATCTCCCAAGTGAGAAATGTGCTTCGTTGCTGAAAAACTTTTTTCACAAAATCGTTGTCCGCTGCTGGATGTTGAAGTACCCAATCGACGTACATATGTATGACCGCTAAAGTCAATTCTTGAGTGAGATGGGCTTCATATTCATTCAACGTCGAGCAATAGACACAATCGGGTCGTCGGTTACAC